AACGATCTTCCGGTTTTTCTTGTTTTTTCCGAGGTGGGTTGGGGGAGGAGGGGATAAAAGGAAGTATCGCACTACATCAGAACGTTGTAAATAGGAGAGATGGATTTTTTTTCGGTGCGACGGGATGAGGCTTATCTTTTGGCCGCTCAAAAATGATCTTTCCGCCTTTGTTTATAATTTTTTTTTTCCTCCAAATTTTTTTTATTGTGTCTCATTTTTAATTCATTTTCTTTAATGAAGAATTAATTCTTTGAGTTCTAAAGTTAACCGTGCACTCAATTAAATTACTTTTGTGAATCACTTATTCTTATACTAGTGATGTCTGGTCGCGCAATGCGCGACCTTGGCCCAGTCTATCTGTAGATCTTAGAAATGTTTATATTTGAAAAAAATAAAATTTTGTATTTGGAGCGATATATTTTAGAAATGTTTGAAGGATTTAGAAATGTTTTATAAGTGTGATCATAGAAATATTTGTATTTCGCAAAAAATAAATAAATTGTATTTCGCCATGTATGTTTTAGAAATGTTTTATAAGTGTTACTTATTAAATATAAATAGCTTAATCGAATATATGTGTTGAAATAAATGTTAGATAAAATATAAAAGTATCCTAATAAATTTAAATATTAGTAAGATGATTTATTGATGTTTTCCATTGGTCGTGCCAAATCAATACTTAGTTTTGGAGATTTTTAATAGCTTTGTAATAAGCTTCATCCAAAGGGTATACGCTTAAAACAAAATTGACACTTTGTAACAAAAAACCTAATTGATCAATTCAATTTAAAAAATCACTCTAGTTGAATGAAACATAAAGAAAAAATTAAAAAAAAACGTGTCACGTAAAGTGCAAAGGGAGATTTAGTAATTTAGTTATGGTTAGACAAAAGGGCAATTTAATATTTCTACATGCCACGTGGCAATCATATGAGGTGTTTGAAAGGGAGGTTTTTGTTTCTAATATAGTAGGATATGGATGACCAAAAAAAAAAAATAAAAAATTGAAAGTTGAATTAGCAAGGACTATACTTTTTACCTTTATTATTATGTAACAAAAAATATTACTTTGTTCTTTAAATGCGTGACAGAAAATTGAGTTGTGGCTGAGTGTAAATGAATCCTTAACTATAGGATTCATTTAATGCTTATCAGTTATGTAACAAAAGATGAATGAATCCTTAATCCTTAAATGAATCCTTATCAGTTATGTAACAAAAGATGATTGAATACTGCCATAAATACTAAACGATTTTAAATCACTATTATTTATGATCGATACTATACAATGCCAAAACGAAAAAGAAAAAGAAAAAAGAAATAACTGATAAGAAAAAAGAAATAGAGTATAAGGCCCTATTTGATAAAACTTTAATTTGGGCCTGAAGTCTGAAATATGAACTGAATTATAAGTACTGAACTGATTAAGTTTCTCTTGTTTGATAAAATTCAAAATCCGAAAACTGAATAAAACGTCTGAAATCTGAAGTCTAAACACTGAAATTTAAAATATCTCGACTTATAATTTTATCTAAAATAATAATTGATTTATATGAAACTATGATAATAATAATAGTAATATAATAAAATTATGTTATAAAAATATTTAAATTTTATTATGTAATTATTTTTCTAATTAATAATAATGTCATATCTTTATCGTTATCAAAAAAATATCATATTTTATGGCAAATATAATTGATCATGGAATTTATTCGGATTTTTAATTTTTATATTAAAATAAATATTTATTAAATAAAAATAATTTATATAAATTTTAATTTATAACTAAACATCAAGATTAATAAAATTATTTCAAGATAAAACATAAAAAATATAAACATAAAAGTAACTAAACAGGAAAAAAATCGTCTCAAGAATTTAGTTCAGACATAAGTGATAGGCCTATCACTTATTTTTAGACTCACATTTGTACTAGCATTTCAGACACACTTAATTTCTTGAGACATCCTACTTTGAGTTATCAAACACACTTAAAAATTTAAGTCTTTAATTAGTTAAGTTCTTAATCAATTAAGTAGTTATAATATTGTTTTGTCAAACAGTGCTAATCAATTAAGTACTTAATCAATAAGTTTAATTGCTGAATTGGTTTATCAAACAAGGCCTAATATTAGTTATCTAAGATTTTGTTTCATTTTTTTTTAAATGGTGGTGCTGGTTATATAGATTGTTTATAAATGATAGTATGGGTTCTATGATTATATGATGGTGGTGCATATTGTTGTGATTAATTTTTTAATTAACTAGGGCATCATATGTTAATTTTTTTAGATGCGTGGCTAAATTGTAAGCGTTTCTTAATAGTTTTCTTAGCATTTCTTAGTAAGGTGTAGTTTGTAACACTGGATGATTTGAATTTCGTTAATTTATGACATTTGTATAAGAAAGCTCTAATTCAAACTTTAATAATGTTATTTTAAAATAATTGTCTTCGGTGTCAACTTACTTTTGATGGATTAAATTTCTTTTTTTCAAAATGAATTTGAAAAAAAAGGGACTAGATTTTACAAATTTTTTCACGAAATTTAAAATACTAGATTATATAATTTTTTTCACAATATCACGCGAAGGGATAAATAATTTTCTTACCTTTTACTAATTAAAATTTGTGTCAATTAAAATTAAAAACCACTATAACGCGCACAACGTGCAGATGAGTAATAGTATATATTATTAGTGCACTAATATATGATAATCTTATTAAAAATTAGTACTTAGTACTAGTGATCAAATGAAGAGCTACCACTTTATTTTAAATTTTAAAATAGAAAACTTACATAATTCACAAAAATTATGTGGTAAACTTTACAAATATCAGGGTGAAATACTATAATTATAACATATGAACGGGATAAAATGTAAATAATTAACTTTGTCCAATAATAAGAAACAGCCGACCCATGTTTTAATCCACAAATAAAGTGATCAGCCGAGCCTATATATCGGATCCAATAGTAGCTTAGCCTAGTTAGCCCAATTTTTTTATGCTATAAATTACTGCGTAATTGGACAAATCAATCCAAAAGCTTTGCCCAATATAATCAACACCTTACTTCAAAACTAAAATTAGTATCAAAACTAGCATATTTTTAAAATAATGCCAACATACACAGATCTCGAACATAGCGCAATTTTAATGGTTTATGGCGTAATGATCATTTTACGCAATTGTCATAATTTACGTACAAAAATTAGATTGTGTCATTAATTAACAACACTCTATTCAAATTGTCTCTAATTTGTGTCACTATATTGTGACAGAAAATTTTAATGCGGCATATATGACGCCAAACAGGAGCAAATTAATAAAATGAAGCAAATATGTCACAAATTTATAGCAAAAGTTGAATTCTGTCATTAATTAACGACATTTGATCCAAGTGCTGCAAACACATGCCGCAACTTTGCAACAAAGAATATTCAATGTCGCATGTTTGATGCTAAATCGAAACATATGTATAAATGACGTTAGTGTGCCGCAAATAAGCGACACATATGCAAGAATGTCACAAATTTATGGCAATTAATGGCGACATTGCTTGAGCAAGTTTCGCCAAAAGCCATATTTCTTGTAGTTAGTCTTTTTGTTTGACATATCTTATATCCTTGTGCATAAATAAATAAATAAACAATAAGTTTCATGCATACAAGAAAAGTAGTTATTGACAAAGGTTCAAATTAATGCTATATTTAGAGAATATTTACCTCCTAACCATTTGCATGGGGTAATAGTTGAAGTTTGATCTTGTTTAAACTTGCAAGTATTTCTTCTATGTTGCTTCTTTTCTGTGGAGACACATTTGTGCAAACCAAAGCAACATTCATGATTGATAAAATATTACTGAGTATTTCATCAAAGTGTTGGTTAAATGTTGATAGTAAATCAACATCAATAACATTGGCTAGTCTATCTGGCATAGACTCTTGCACCCAACTCCTCAAGGATAAATTTTCACCAAACATTTTATTACTAGGACCTTTTCCAGTGAAAACTTCCATCATCATGATTCCAAAATTATAAATATCACATTGTATTGATACCAATCCTTCTGAAGCATACTCTATAAGAAAATAAATATTAATTAATTATTTTAAACTTATGAGGTAACTTTAGAGCTCATAATTTCAATAAAAGAAAAAATAAAAAGAAAAAAAATCTCACCTGGGGCAAGATAACAAAGAGTAGCTAGCATTTTGGTGAATGTGATGCTATCCTCGTGACCAAGCAACTTTGCAATGCCAAAATCACTGAGGTGTGCTACTATTTCTTGGTCTAATAGGACATTACTGGGCTTTAGATCACAATGAGTAATGGGTATCGAATTGCCACAATGAAGATACTGCAAAGCACATGCCACATCGACCAGTATATTCACTCGTTGCATAACAATGAGAGAATAGTTTATTTGAATGCAACCAACTATCAAGACTCCCATTGGGAATGTACTCGAGAACCAACGCTTTAAAGTCGGGGTTAGAACAACTACTAATGACATTTGTTAGATTTCAATGGCGAATGTTGCGTAATACTTCACATTCTGTGTCAAAACTCTTCAATGATCCTTCTAATTGCAAATTGAATTCTTTAACAGCCACAATATCGCCATTGTCAAGAGTGCCCTTCTAAACAGATCCAAAACTTCCAATCCCCAATAAGTTATTACTATTATATCTATCTGTTGCTCGTAGAAGTTCATAATATGATACTCTTTTCCGTGTAATCAATGAAAAGCCTTCAACATTTGTTGTTTTACTTTTCTTTTTGTACTTCACATAGATAAGCCCAAAGCATGTGATGCCAGATACTGATATTGTCACAACCAAAATTATTAACAATTTTGTGCAAACTTATGCTGCTCTTCCTAGTTCCTATGATGAGATGAATGATTTGGGCATGGTGGCACATGAAACTTTGGAGGTCCGCATAGTGCTTGATTTGAAATGAAGGATTCAGCTGTCAAATTTATAAATGGATCTCATGAGGGAATTTCTCCGCTCAAATGGTTTAAGGACACATTAAAGTAAGCAAGGTCTTGAAGATTTTCTAATGAGATTGGAAAAGGACTTGATAAAAAGTTATGTGAAAGATCTACTTGCTCCAAACTCAGCATATTACCCATTGCCTCGGGGATAAATCCTTGCAACTGGTTGTGAGCTAAAGAGAGATTTCTCAAGTTTTCTAGGTCTTTTATAGTGCTAGGAATATTACCCGAGAAATAATTGTTGGAGAAATCCAATGACGTAACACTTTTTATATGATTTATTTCAGGAGGTAGAGAACCAGTTAATGAATTGAGAGACAAGTCGAGCATCCATAAATCCTTTAAATCCCATAAGCTGAGAGGTATACTAGAATTTAATCCAGTAGAACTGAGGTAAAGATATGTCATGGAAGTTATATTTTCAAAGCAGTTCGGAATGGTGTCCCCAGTAATAAGATTTTCTTGTAGATCTAAATACCTCAAGTTTTGAAATGAACAAAATCGTTTTGACGAAATACTCATTTTGTTCCCACCAAGATATATACGTTCAACATTCTACAACTTCTTTATTGAAGTTGGCATTGAACCATTAAGCTCATTGTCAGAAAGGATGATGGTAAATAAGCTACTTAAATTTCCAATATCGTTTGGAATAATACCCCTGATTTTACAATTATCAGCATGTATCTGTTCTAGAGTTGAAGAGAGATTTCCAATTGAATCAAGAAAAGATACATCTAGTGGATTGTCAGATAGAATAAGTTGTGCCAAATATTTACAATTCGCCAATGAAGTGATGATTTCTAATGTAGGAGTAGAAGGGTCACTTATTAAATTGTTCGCTCCAAGATTCAAGATCTGAAGTAAGTTAAGGTTTCCCAGAGAATTGGGAATGAGGCCTATGAAATTGTTGTCTTCCAATTCAAGAACTTGAAGGTTGGAGCAATTTGAAATTGAGTTTGGTATAACTCCACCAACTCCATTCAAGAAGAGGTTAAGAGCTCCTAAATTAGGAAGAGTGTCACACATTGTTGACGAAAGGTTGCCAGAAAGATGATTTTGTGCGATATCCAAATATCCTATGGTTGAAATGTTGAAGATGTTGTGGCAGAAAGGGTATAAACACAACAAAAACGATTCCCAAAAAAAACTTCTTTCCTACTACCAATAAAATAGGATAATCAACCAAACAAACAAATAATTCAAGAACTGATAAAGTAAAGTAGACACACGAATTTACGTGGAAACCCAAATCGGAAAAAACCACGGGACTGTAACAACAGTCAAATCTCCACTATCACAATAATGGGAAACAGTCTTCACCAACCGGTGGATATACAAGACTTCATCCAAAGGTGGATTACAATAATACTCTTCCACATACCCCTATCACCAAGTAGGACTAGAAGGATCTTACCAAAAGAGAGCTAAACCAAAAACTAAACCGGAGGAATTGTAGATCTTGTTGAGAGGAACACGCATGCAAACTTGCACCAATAACTGACTCTGCTTCTTCACCTGATCAAAGTCTCAAAGTGAAACACTTTCTTCTTACAGCGCCAAAACCTCAAAACCCTAGCTTTCTCTCTCGCGCATAAAACCTATGCACGGCTGCCCTTGCTTTGCTTCTCTCTCGGCCGAACTCAAGAATCCAAAAAAAAAAAAAAACCCAAAGCACCATGGCTTTTATAAGCCAAGGCCAAACCCAAAACCAAAACAAATTGGGTTTTGGTCTTTCGGTCAAGCACCACTTATGTGGTCAAATCCGGTTGGGTCTTTATTTGAGGAGAATTAGGCCCAACAATCTTCCCCTTCACCTCAAATGGGGAGTAAAACCAAACCCGCTTCCCGCCTACAAAACAGGAGCTTGGCTCTACTTATAATCTTCGTCAACATATCGGCACCGTTGTCATCCGTATGAATCTTCTCAAGAAACAACGCCTTGGACTCCAACACATCCCAAATCTAATGATATCTCACATCAATATGTTTAGGTCGCGAATGGAATGTGGAATTTTTCGCCAAGTGAATAGCGCTCTGGCTATCATAATACACCACATACTTCTCTTGCTTCATGCCAAGCTCTTGTAGAAACTTCTGCAACCAAAGTGCTTCCTTACAAGATTCAGTAGCTGCGATAAACTCTGTCTCTGTAGTAGACAAAGCAACACACTTCTGTAACCTACTCTGCCATGAAACTGCTCCCCCTCCATAAGTCATCAAGTAACCAGAAGTAGACTTCCGACCATCAAGGTCACCCGCCATGTCAGCAGCTGTATATCCTCTAACATGGTCTTCCCATTGCCAAAGCAAAGACTCAATCTGGAAGTACCTTAAGATACCTGAGAATCCATTTCACAGCATTCTAACGCTCCTTACCAGGATTGGAGAGAAACCGACTAACAACACCAATTGCATGAGCTATGTCTGGCCTTGTGCAAACCATCGCTTACATCAGGCTGCCAACTGCCGAAGCATAAGGAATCTTTTTCATCTCTTCCTTATCTTTCTCACTTTTAGGACACTACATTTTGCTTAGCTTAAAATGCCCTCCAAATGGAATGGAGACTTTCTTAGCACCGCTCATGTTAAACCTATCAAGAACCTTCTCGATATACTTTTCTTGAGATACCCAAAGCTTCCCATTCTATCTGTCACGAGAAATCTTCATCCCAAGGATCTGTCTAGCCGGACCCAAATCCTTCATTGCAAAGGACTTATTCAACTCCTTTTTCAACCTGACAATCTTTGCAGTATCATTACCAACAATTAACATGTCATCGACATAAAGCAAAAGAATTATAAAAGCACCATCAGAGAATTTCTTCACAAACACATAGTGATTAGCTGTAGTCCTTTCGTATCCCTGCCCTATCATGAAAGCATCAAACTTCTTGTACCACTACCTTGGAGCTTACTTCAACCCATACAAGTTTTTGTTGAGATGACATACAAGCTTTTCTTTCCCCTTCTCCTAGAACCCATCTGGTTGCTCCATGCAAATCTCTTCTTTCAAATTACCATGCAAAAAGACTGTCTTCACATCAAGCTGTTCAATCTCAAGATTCAAACTAGCTGCTATCCCAAGCACAACTCAAATCGAAGACATCTTTATAACAGGAGAAAATATCTCATCAAAGTCTACGCCCTTTCTCTGATTGAATCCCTTCACAACCAATCTAGCTTTGAACCTTGGTTGCAAGATGTTCTCACTTGTTTTCGGTCTAAACACCCATTTATTCTTGAGTGCTCTCTAGCTCTTAGGCTACTTCACCAGGTCATACATGTTATTCTCATGCAAGGATTTGATCTCATCTTGCATGGCTGCTAACCACTGATCTTTCTGCTCATTACTAAGAACCTCTTCATACGACTCTGGTTCTCCCCGGTCAGTAAGCAACAAATACTCATGAGCACTGTACCTGGTGGAAGGTTTCTTGTCTCTGGTGGACCTTCTTGGCTGGACAGGAGGTGATGAAATCGGTGGTGTCTCTGTTTCAGAAGTAGGATCATCATCAAACTCACCATTCTGCTCTGTCTCAGCTCCCCCTTCAAAAGAATCATCTGATTGTGGAGGAACTAGATCTAGATCAATAGGAATCTCAAGTGAAGATTCTGGCATCTTGCCCTTTCCCATATCATCAATGGTCTGGTCTTCAAAGAAGATTACATCTCTGCTTCTGAAAACTTTATTCTCTACAGGATCCCAAAGTTTGTACCCAAAATCATCATTGCCATACCCTAAGAATATACACTGCTTGGATTTCCATCAAGCTTCAAACTTTCGTCTTTGGGAATATGAACAAAGGCACGACAACAAAAAACTTGCAAATGTCCAAATGAGATATCTTTCCCTGTCCAAAGTCGTTGTGGTAGATCACCATCCAACGGAACTGAGGGAGATAGGTTGATCAAATCAACTGGTGTCTGCATGGCTTCACCCTAAAATGATTTAGGCAGCTTTGCATTCGAGAGCATACACCTAACCTTTTCGGTAATAGTTTTGTTCATTCTTTCTGCCACGCCATTCTGCTGCGGAGTTTTTGGAACACTCTTCTGAAGTTTAATGCCATGGTGTCGGCAATACTTTTCAAACGGACCCCTGTACTCACCACCATTATCTGCTCGACCACACTTCAACTTCTTGCCAATCTCTCGTTCAACTCTAAGGTGAAAGTCTTTGAACATATCTAATACCTGATCTTCAGATTTCAAAGAAAAACACCAAACCTTTCGAGCATAGTCATCAATGAAAGTAACAAAGTACAATGCTCCACCCAATGACCTATCTTTCATGTAACATACATCTATATGAACTAACTCTAGAGGACTGGACTTTCTAGATGGAGGAGAATTTTGAAAGGAAACCCTATGCTGTTTACCATAGATACAGTCAACACAAGGTTCTAGAGCAGTCCCTTTCACCTCAGGGAGAAATTACTTCTTACCAAAAAAATCTGGAGCCCCTTGACACTAATGTGTCCAAGCCTTCTGTGCCAGAGATCAATGGAGGCATTACGAGTTGCATTCACCTCTCCATTTTTTAACTTTGCATTCAACACATACAAAGAGTTCAACTTCTTTCCTCTAGCAATAACAAGATTCCCTCTGGTAATTGTCCAACGGCCACCACCTCTAGTGCTATGATAACCCTCATCATCAAGTTTTCCAACGGAAATAAGGTTCAGACGCATATCCGGAACATGTCCGACATTCTTCAAGACAAGAGTACAACCTATATTCGTTACCAATGATACCTCTCCCATGCTGACAACATCGCATGAGGCTTGATTGCCCATTCTTACACGACCAAAATCTCTAGTTGTGTAAGAGGTAAAGAAGTGTCTGTGAGGCGTCACATGATAAGACGTACCTGAATCACCGAACCAATCACTGTCGTGACTCGCAACATTAATTGTATCATCATCACAGTACACAAATACATCACTGATAGTTACTATTACAGTAGTGTCATCATCACTTGATTCATCCTTCTTGCCTTTACCTTTTCTCGGTGCTAGTTCTCTCTTGAGAACCCTGCACTCCTTAAAGTGCTCATTCCCTTGAGAATGGTAGCACACGACATCTTTCTTGGATTTAGACTGTCCTCTGGACTTGTCATTCCGATCACGTGGCCCTATGCTTTTACTTCTCCATCTTCTATCTGACTTTTCTGTTACCAGAGCCTGCGACTCAGACTCAATAATCTGCTCTTTTCTTCTGACTTCTTCACTCATCAAAGCCTCTTTGACCTGATCCAAGGTCAAGATACCATCCTGGGTTGAATTACTGATTGACACTACCAAAGTGTCCCAACTGTCTGGAAGAGAATTAAACAATAACAAAGCCTGCAACTCATCATCCAACTTTAAACCTACATTCACTGCATGGTTCAACAAACCCTGAAATGAACTCAAGTGCTCATTAATGCTAGCACCATCTTTGTACCTCAACCTGGTGATCTGTTTCAGCGCAGATGACTTATTGATGCCAGACTTCTTCCAGTACATATTCTGGATTTTCTCCTAAAGTTCATCAGCTTTTGTTTCTCCTGAAAAGTGATGAAACACACTTTGATCAATCCACTGTCGAGTATTACCAACAGTTTTCCTGTGCATATCAGCCCACATTTTATCAGTCATATCACTTGGCCTACCATCATCCTCTAGAACATGATCAAACAAATCTTTGCAATACAACAAATCTTCCATTCTAGGTTTCCACATATGATAATTGGATAAAGTCAATTTAATCATCGTACGAGTACCAGATGAATCTTCCATTTTATTGGTGTAACACCTCAACTACCGAACCGTAGCTCTGATGCCACTATTGTGGCGGAAAGGGTATAAACACAACAAACCAGCGAAAACGATTCCCAAGAAAAACTCCTTTCCTACTACCAATAAAATAGGACAACCAACCAAACAAGCAAATAACTCAAGAACTGATAAAGTAAAGTAGACACACGAATTTACGTGGAAACCCAAATCGGAAAAAACCACAGGACTGTAACCACAGTTAAATCTCCAGTATCACAATCACGGGAAACAGTCTTTACTAACCGGTGGATACACAGAACTTTACCCAAAGGTGGATTACAACAATACTCTTCTACACACACCTAAACCACAAAGTAAGATTGGAAGGATCTCACCAAAAGAGAGTTAAACCGAAAACTAAACCGTAGTTTTCTTTCTTTTTCCCTCGTACAAAAACAATGCACGGCTGCCCAAACTTTTCTTATCTTCTCGGCTGGAAAAACACACACTTATCAGAAAGTAAGACCAGAAGGATCTAACCAAAAGAGAGCTAAACTGAAAACTAAACCGGAGAAATTGTAAATCTTGTTGAGAGAAACACACATGCAAACTTGCACCAATAACTGAGTCTGTTTACCCGATCAAAGCCACAAAGTGAAATACTTTCTTTTCACAACACCAAAACTTCAGAAACCCTAGTTCTCTCTCTTTTTTCTCGTGCACAAAAAGATGTTGCACGGCTGCTCTTTTTTTGCTTGTCAAACTCACGCGTAAAAATCACACCAAATTTGTGCATGGAAGCCTTGCTTTTATAAGCACTAAAAACCAAAAGCAAAACCCAATGGAATTGGGATATGTTTCCCCGGTCAAGAAAATCAAAACCAAAGCCAATAAGGCTTGGTTTTATTTCTTCTTTTTGCTGGCCCAATTGGAGGGGAATAGGCCTAACAGATCCAAATCCTCCAGACCCCAACCAGACCCCAACATATTATTTTCATCATACTCATCTGTAGCTTTTAGAAGTTTTTGATATGATATCCTTTCTTGGGTGATCAATGACAAGTCCACTTGATCGGCACTGGAAACAACATTCTTTCTTCGGAAGCTTATGCATAAAAATGCAACAAAGATGGCAACTGTAACTCCAATCAATCCCAACACAACTAATATAACGGCTTTTTTTATATTAGTTACAAGTTGTAACATAGTAGACTTAGTTAACTTAATATCATGTTTAGCCGTAGCTCCTAATTTCGATTCTCTTAAACTTCTTTTCTTGGTTGTTTCTTTTTTTTTTTTTTTTAACATTTTTCCATATATTTTTCTTTTGGATTTCAAAATCTCTCCTCCAACGTTTTTCTCCTTATTTTTTACAATATCTTTTTTTTTTTGCCTCTAAAAAACTTTTCCAACGTTTTTTCCCTTTTTTTTAAAAAAAATATTTTTTTGGCCTATCAAAATTTAAAGTATAATTATTGGAATTCCTGTTTCTTAACCTATAAAATCAAAACCTACCTAAACTAAGTAAGAATCCTGAGAGATTCAAAATTGTCGGCCGTTAGTTTTTTTGCATGTTTTAAATTAAATTTAGGAGAAAAATTCTATGTTTTGGTCCAAGTTTCGGCTAAAAAAATAAAAATAAGGAAAAAAAAATTAAAGTGAGAACAAAACCGTGAAACCGTAAAAATCAAACCGTTGATTATGGATTGGTTTGGCCCGGTTTCTAAATGTGGACCGGTAACTGAAAAAGTTAATTCCTTCCCAATAACTGAAAAAGAAGACAATCTTTAACCCATTAGAATGCTGAAATTTGATGTATGGGACAAAAAGCGAACATCCACCTCCCAAGCCCTATGTATATGGGAACAGTTGAAGTTTGATCTTAGTCGAACTTGCAAGAACTTCTTCAATGTTCTTCTTTCCCTTGGAGACTCATTTGCACAAGTCAGAGCAACATCCATGATTGATGAAATGTTGGCTAGTATTTCAGGATAGTGCTGATTCAAGGGTGATAGCAAATCAACATCTATAACGTTAACAAGTCTAGGCATAGACTCTTGCACCCAACTCTTTAAACTCAAACTTTCACCAAACATTTTATCATTAGTACTCTTTCGCATGAAAACTTCAATCATCATGATTCCAAAACTGTAAATATCACGTCTTGTTGATACCAGCCCTTCTGAAGCATACTCTATAACAATGTAATTATAATTAATCATCATTAACTAGTACATGCAGTCTACAACTTCAAAACTTAAAACATAAATACAAAAATTAAGGACATTAAAACCTCACCTGGGGCAACGTAACAAAGGGTAGCTAACGTTTTGGTGTATGCAACATTGTCTTGACCCAGCAATTTAGCAATTCCAAAATCACTAACATGGGCAACCAATTCTTGATCTAGTAGAACATTACTCGGATTCAGGTCACAATGCACAATAGGTGTCAAATTACAGCAATGAAGATAATGTATAGCACATGCCACATCAATCATTATACTCAATCGTTGCATAACATTGAGAAAATTTTTATTTGAATGCAACCAGCAATTGAGACTCCCATTGGACACGTACTCAAGAACCAATGCCTTAAAGTCGGGGTCAGAACAACTGCTAATGACTTTAGTGATGTTTCGATGGTGAAGATTGCGGAGTACCTCACATTCAGTGTCAAAACTCTTAAATGATTCTTCTAGTTGAAAATTGAATACTTTGATAGCAACAATCCAACCATCTTCAAGTGTGCCTTTGTAAACAGATCCAAAACTTCCAGTACCCAATAAGTTATCGATGTCATGTTTGTCGGTTGCTTGTAGGAGCTCGTAGTATGATATTCTCTTATGTGCAATCATGGAGAGATCTTCAGAATCATTAGTAGTTGTTTTGCTTTTCCTTCTGTAATTGAGGTAGATAAATCCTAAGCTTGCAATATCAACAACTTTGTGTATATTTATGCTACTTGTCATATGATGAGGTGAAGGATCTGGGCATGTCCAGACATGAAACCTTGGAGCTTCACATAATGAAGGATTCTGCTGTAAAGTTTACAAAAGGACCTTGTGAAGGTATTTCGCCACTCAAATTGTTGAAGGGTACATTGAAGAAAGTAAGGTCTCGAAGATTTTCTAATGACATTGGAAGAGAACCAGATCATAAAGAGTTGTACAAAAGATCTACTTGTTTCAAACTCTAACATTTCACCGATTGTCATAGGGATATTTGCCCTTGCAATTGGTTGTGAGCTAAAAAAAAGACTCTGCAAGTTTTCCAAATTGCCGATTGTACTAGGAATATCCCCCTGAGAAATGATTACTGGAAAAATCTATCCAGGTTGCCATTTTGAAATTATTGATTTCAATAGGCAGAGAACCAGTTAAAGAATTTGATGAAATGCTGACCATCAATATATCTTTGAGGTTCCAAAAATTCAGGGGTATGCTTGAGTTTAATCCAGTGGAGTTGAGGAAAAGATTTCTCATAGAAGTAATATTCCCGATGCAATCTGGAATTGTGCCCCCATTGATAAGATTCGCTTCTAGATATAAAGCCCCCAGGTTAGGGCAAGCACAAAAGAGCTCTAGAGAAATAATCATCTTGTTCCTACTTAGAGCAATTTGTTGAAGATACCGCAACTTATTTTTATTGAATCTGGAAATGGCCCGCTCAATTGATTATCATAAAGGTATAACATACTTAAGCTGCTCAAATTTCCACTCTCACTTGGAATTGTACCCTTGATGTCACAATTGGAAGCATCTAAATACTCAAACGTGGAAGAAAGATTTCCAATAGAATCCAACAAAATGTCATCTAGAGGATTAGTTTGAGTTTTATCAAATAGTTGCAATTAGCTAATGACGTGATGAAGTTTAACATCGAGGAGGAAGGATTAGTAGTCAAGTTGTTGTTGTTGAGATTCAACATTTGGAGTAAGCTTAGGTCTTTCAAGGAATCAAGAATAAATCCAGTGAAATTGTTATACCCAGCTCAAGAATCTGAAGATTGGAACAATTTGAGATTGAGTTTGGTATAGGTCCGCTGATGCTATTCACAACAAGATAAAGAGTTTCTAAATTAGGAAGTGTGTAACACATTGTTGATGGAAGATTGCCGGAAAGATGATTTCCTAATAAACTCATTTGTGTCAGGGTTGAGATGTTGATTTGCTGAATATTTGATAACTTGCTGATGTCTTTTGGGATAACTCCTAAAACAAAATAATTCCATTATATTACACATTATTTCATAAAATAATATTAATTATGTTCTACAAATAATCCATATCACAAAGATGTGATATTTTAATTATGGTTAACGCAATCATGATGCAACCAATAATTGTCAAAAAAATTCTAATCGCGTCCTGATTTTTAGTTTTTTTTTTTCCCGACTCAAAAGATTGTCTTATACTCTTATCTCTACTTTAGTGATGAACACAATTTAGTAACTTTAATTAAATTAATTTTTGGTTTTTATGAAACTGGATTTCTTTTTTATTTTGAGATGGATAGAGTATTTTATTTATTTATTTATTTATTTATTTTTAACAAAAAACAACTTTATTAATAATAAAGAAAAATATGACAGTGAATATACTAAGCCCTATATCAAATACATTTTTGATCTTAAAGTAAAGTTTAATCCTTGTTCAATCTAGTAGACTGACGAACTTGAACTTTCTTTTTATCCTTCGCTTTTTTCGATCGATTGTGGTATGTTGGAGCAGAAACTTCATTGTAAAAAGACTCTTGTTCCATTGTGTATGCCATATCGAAGTCTTCTTCATCAGAACCATCGAAGACATGATTTATGCCCCCTTCGGAACTAATTTCTTCCATCTAATAATTTGAATATTTTATTTATTTTCTATGAATTTAATGATATATCATTTCCGATACCACTCAAGTGCAAAGCTATAAATCTTTGGGAAAAAAATTTCTTATGAATTCAATCATTTAATTACTTATTTAAGATTTTACATTCCTGTCAGCTTGTTCTTGCTGATGTCCACATTTTGTAGCATTGACACAAATTTCCAACTTCGATTGGGATTACACCTACAAATATTGGCCCATAATTGATAAGAGTAATCGATGAAAAATAAGCAGTAGAACTTCTATAAATTAATAGTGTTGGGACCATCAAATTTTATTAATTTAGTGAATTATTAAATAATCGATAAATTAATAAATTATTAATTATTAATTTATAGATAAATTAATAAATTATTAATTTAAAGATTTTTTTCTTTAAAAACCCTACTATACTACGTAATTTTCCATCGTTGCTTTACAATCCTAAAAAATAAGGAATGTAACTCTTTTTAATAATAAACTCAAACCTAATTTATATCATATTCAGAATCGGGATCAAGAAGGGGCCGAAACTCTTCTCCCAAATCAGCAATACCTCTTCAGAATTTCTTGTTGCAATTTGAGAATACACATTTCAAAAAAAAAAAAAAAAGGAGAGAGAATATAACACCAAAGCTTTCAAGGGCAATGAGACAAATCAAAGATGAATTCATTGGATTTAAATTTCAAAAAAAAAAGTATCAATAAGTTCATATTTTACTAAATCTTCCTAGATATTAGTATTTTTTTTTTTTGGCATTTGAGGTATTTATTAATTTACAGTATTGTTGGTACTTATAGATATATAAGGAATTTTCTGAAATATTATTATATTATCATTTTATCGATTTTTGTCACTTTTTGTACTGGTCCCAAGTTGGGAACCGAGAAAATTATTAATTGCTAAAATTTATTAATGTATCGATTATTAATTTACCGACGTTCTACTGTAGTTAGATATAGAAATAGAAATTTTTATATGGTGAAAGTGAAATCTTAACGACAAAAGGAAAGACTTGGGATCGGGGACTTAATCCTAAAAATTAAGGGAACTCATCGTCATAAGATTTAACTATATTTATTTATTCTTTTGGAGTGATTTTTTTATATACTAATTAAAATTGCTATAAAATGTCAAGTATGAAAGGAATCTTTAATATTCTAGTTGACTGAGTTTTGATATAAGATATACGAAGAAGAGATGTTACGTTACCTTCTAGTTGGTTACCCCACAAAGCAATCACCAGAAGCTCCTTCAAGTTACCAATTTGTTTTGGTATCTCTCCTGAGAGACTGAGAGTGAGTTCTGGGAAAGGTAAAGCTGCTGAAGTCGTAAACATTGGCCTATGCTTTGTGGTATTTGACCAATTAACCCAGTTCCTGCTAAACCAAGCCACTCGAGTCTCGGAAGACGCTGACACATATCATCTGGAAGTGAGGAACCATCTGAAAATGCATTCTCACTCAGAGATACGCTTTCCAGAGAAGAAACGTTAAAGATCTCATTCACCCGAAGATTTCCCTCAAGATCATTGTAGGGAACAAATAACGTTGTAAACTTGGGACATGTTTGAGATGGACTGCGGGATAACACCAGTGAAACTGTTTCCCCCACAAGTTCAAGTATTCAAGCTCCTGAAATGAACCAATCCAAGGTGGGAATTGGCCAGTGAGAGTGTTTAAGCCTAAATTAAGCACTTTCAGGCGACGTAACGGAAAACTCATCGATTAATCCTCCGTTGAACTGGTTTCCGCTCATGTCGAGAGAAACCAGGAATGAGAGATTCCCGAGATGGGGAGGGATGATTCCGGTGAGTTTCATATCGGAAAGATCTAAGGCGGTCACTCTGAGTTGTCGAGACCCACAAGTGACGCCAATCCAGTTACAAACGGAGGAATCAACCGTCCAGTTTTGGGCCAATATTAGGTCGGAAGGTAGTTCCCTATACGATCTTTCAGGGCGAGAAGAGCGAGCTGATCCTTGGTGATGTTGGTTGTGGTTAAGGATGTGGAAACTGTTAATAAACATGGCAACACAAGAAGAAGAAGTAATACTATTAGTAATTGGAGATGCTTTGCAACCATTTTGACAGTTGTAAAGTTAATTCTGAGTTCTCATCCTTTGAAACTAAAGAATCTCTACCTCTAATATATAGGACACTTTATAAGTCAAACTCATATTAGATATTTTAGTAATCATATATTTACAAGACCGCTGTTGTTGCTTAATCTTATCTAGTTATCAAATAAGTATTGTGGATTAGTTAGTGCGCCAAGTAAACTAAAAATTAAATAATGAAGGTTGAATTGTTCTAGCTAGACTACGTTTAGTTATCTGAATCGTTCAACCGGCAGCATTTTGGATATATAGGATTCGAGGGAAGGCCACCCTTTTGATAATGATGCACGAATAAATAAATCTAATGTCTAAATCTCGGAGTCGAATATCATTACCAGTGGTTCTAAGCAAATTGCCCCCTTATGCCACTATATCCATTGTGACGACGGTATATTAAAAGAAATCATGTTCGTAGTATTAAAATAGGTCGCTTATTAAAAGGATTGTTCGGCGAAGAATTAGTCACACTTGCTACTCCAATATTCAGAGCTTTGTTGCATTTTAGTTACTCTTCAATTAAATAACTTGTCTCGTCTCTGTTCCCTTTATTCTTTGTACATCTAAATTAACCTCAGTTAAGGGACTATAGCTAGGCCGGCAAAACAAGTATAGTACATGGACGTCCCTAGCTAGGCTTTCACGATGTCTTCGCCGCCATTTCATCGACAGATTTCCGGCATGGCATGGCCTGATTTCCAAGTTTCTCCGGTACAAGCTCAACATCAAACGATTTAAACGAAGTTAATAACAATTTTATGCATCCAATTGGAGAACCAGCATGGCCCGACGTACAAATTCAGTTAGCTTTGGATACCTCGCCGGCTGAGAACGAGAGCTCCGTTAATGGATATTAGGGAGTACAAGACGGAGGAGAAAATTACCGACTAGATGGCATATCATATCACAAACTCTTACTATATGATATTGCTTCTTATTATGTTCGATCAAAATGCTCAGAAATGATTATTAGACAAGAGATATTCCTAAAACTTTTGTATTGCACTTATTGTGATAGTATTATTTAAATATTGGAGACCTGATTACGAGAATTATAACAAAATCCCTGATGCAATTTTTTTTTTTTTTTTGGTTTTTTTTTTGCTCATTAGTTTGCGGAAATGGATATATCGGAGTAAAAAACAAAAATTCACCTACACGTACACATTGCATGCAGTAAAATACCACTTTCTCAGCTGAAGGTTTCCAAACTTGTGCCTTCATGCAATAGGTTTAATAAAAATTGTGCTTTAGCTCAACCGGTGGAGGTACCTTCAATCCCTGAGTTAAAAATATACCAAATTAAGTTACTGACACGAAAAGGCATTTGTATAGGGCAAGAGTTGAAGTTTGATCTTATTCAACCTAGCAAGAACTTCTTCAATGTTACTTCTTTCCCTTGGAGACTCCTTCGCACAAGTAAGAGCAACCTCCATGATGGACATTATGCTGGCAAGTATTTCATCATAGTGCTGATTGAATGTTGATAACAAGTCCGCATCGATAACATTAACCACTCTATTGGGAAAAAACTCTTGCACCCAGCTTTATAGACTCAAGTTTTCACCAAACATTTTATCACTAGGACTTTTTCTTGTGAAAACTTCCATCACCATGATCCCAAAACTATAAATATCACATTTTGCTGATACGAGTCCTTCCGAAGCATATTCTTGAGAAAATAAATTATTAAATAGTTAAATCATAATCATCATAAATTGCAACTTCAAAACTTGAAACTCAAATACAAAACAAAAGGAAATAAAATCTCACCAGGAGCAGTATAACAAAGCGTAGCTAATGTTTTGGTGCATGTAAAGTTGTTCGGACCCAGCAATTTAGCAATTCCGAAATCGCAAACATGGGCAACCATTTCTTCATCTAATAGGACGTTACATGGTTTTAGATCACAATGGACAACAGGTGCCAAATTACCACAGTGAAGATACTGTAGAGCACATGCCATATCAATAAGTATGTTCAATCGTTGCATAACGTTGGGAATAAAGTTATTTGAATGCAGCTGACTATCAAGACTCCCATTGGGCATGTAGTCGAGAATCAACGCCTTAAAGTCGGGGTTAGAACAACTACTAATGACTTTTGTTAGGTTTCAATGGCGAAGGCTCCGTAGTATCTCACATGTTGCTGGAAATATGGGTAGTATTCGCAAAGGCTAAGAAAAACGGAAAAAGAAGAAATCCGAGGCTCGTGAAAACACGATCTCCTTAAAACAGATTTGCCCCCTCCTATGGTGCTTGAGGATCTCGAGCAACTGTTTCCCAGGATACAACGGAAACGTAGAGACTACTTAGCACAAAGAAGTTCTACCAGCGAACGAAACTTAGAACACGATGATGAACACCAAAAACTGAAAGAGAAGGAAAGAAAGGCTTGAAAGAATACTGATAGAGGAGGAAGGATTGGTGTGTTGAACTTTGGAAAATGAGTGCCTATTTATAGGCTGGAGAAACCTTTGAAATGGCAGCAAAATTTCAAACGGTTTTTGATAGCAATCCGTAACAAAACCAATCTCTAAGAAAAGATCAACTTTGCTAGTTCGGAAAGTCAGAGATTTGTAGGCAGCGGAATTTGGAAATTCGGATTTAAAGACTCTAGAACACACGAAAACAAAGAAAAGAAAAGATATTTGATCTCACGTGGATCAATTCACGAGTTCAATGGTAGAAAAACCCAAATCAAAAATGAAGAGAGCTAATTCTAACCAAGCAGAGACCCTTTTGAAAATTGTGTAAGAAAACCCAATAGATATGAGATCTATGAGCCCAAATACCAAGATTCGAAAGATCCAATGCTATAGACGCCACTATCAAGCGAACTAAACAAGATAGATAAGTCTAACAATTGTCACAACACATATGCAACAATCAAACAAAGAAGTTCTCACAAGAACTCCACGAAAGGAATAAAATCCTAACCAATTTCACTCAGGAAAATTTTCAAATGACCAAAAGGTGTTGGACAAGAGGATTTCGGTCCCTTTATATAGAGGGGTGGCCGAAATTTCTATCCTAGAAGTAGAGGAAGAACACAACTCTTCACCTCTATTCCTATCTCTAAGAATCTGAATGAAATCAAACTCTAAAGACTCCTAGTTATCTTAAGTGATAAGATAACGAACCTAGACACTTTTACTAGTCTTAAAACATTTAAGACTTGTAGGAATTAATTAAAACTCCAAAATACAAAGAGATAATCTCTTAGAAAGATTCCAATGGATAGAATCTCCCTTGAGTTAAAACTCTATCATCATCTTCTTTGTAGAGTGATCTTAGCCATCCATTTTGATGTAGTCTTCATCCAACGGTTGAGTAGACATCAAAAGCTGACTCCTTATTGTAGGAAAACTCGAAAAACAAGTAAAAGAATCATCCCAAATATTATCCTTTAAAGAGATAAAAGTCTTCTCTTTCAAAGAGATAAAATTTGAATGATCTTACCCCTAAACTTTAGGGAGAAATTCGACCAACATGAGGAAAGGTGGCCGGCGGTCCCCTTGTGGATTGAGGGCCGAAATTCTTCTCTCCAAATGGGCCATGTCCATTTGGTGTTAGTTGCAGCAAATTAATAGTCTTGGGCTTGTAATCTTCAAGCTTAATTTCCTCCTTAGCCCATGAGTAACAATTAGACTATTAAGTGATTCATTCATCCTCTTGCGTCTAGCACGAGTCATTGGTCCAACAATGTTTGAAAGTGGATCACGAATGTAAGGATTATTCTTTAAAGCAGCATTTTTAGATCCTCCATTAGCATTCACGTCCTCAACTTGCTCGTCTTCTCCATTATTGGCAGCAACTTGTCCCTCTTCATTAGTGTTAGCTAGATGGTCTCCATCAGTTTTGGTGTTTTAATTCTGTTAAATGTCACGAATTCATGGCACATAAACAGCCAAAATGTTTTTGACAATCAAACAGTCAAAAGAATTCATTCTGCCATTTAAACAGTATTAAATCCGCCATTCATTTGCTCATTCAACAACAATGTTTCAGTTTTTTCTTTGACTGAAATGAATGAACATAAATCTCCACATTAAAATTTTAGCTGGAAAAAATTAATCTGAACCGTAGCAAAATGTGGGTTGATCAGGCCCGCTAGAGCTCGGTCCGGCATTCGTGTCCGCAGGTCGTGCGCACACATGAGTCAGGCTATTTTGGCCCCGAATTGAACCTCCATTTGCACCCCCCCTGCGCGGGTGCACGCGAGCGGGAGAGATGTGGTATAGTATTGGCAAGTCAACTTGCAAGTCAATTTTGGGCTCTCACTTATAAAGTGAGCTCCAACTCTTCCCAACACCCATGTGGGACAAAGTCCCTTAGCATTAACTCTAATTTTTCCAACTCTTGAGAAACTTAATTCTCATTCACTCTTTTCCAACAATCCCCCACATGAATGAGATATTGTTTCGATTAAACAATGATGGTGTTCACCAACTGATCCCTGCATAGAGAAAGTAGGTTTTAACCTTTGAACTTTCTCCTTGTAAAGTATGTTTGCCTTACTAGCTCACCAGTTGACATGATGTCCTTGAACTGTTCGGCTGTATTGTGTAAAGAAACCCACATACCGTACACAGGAACCATTTCTATTTAGTTCCGTTTTCATGGTTTTGTCCATTTTGGCCATGAACACGTCCTGGTTCTGCAAGAGTTTCTAAAGAACTGAGCCTTAACAGTTCTCCTTTGAAGCGGCCCCACTTCTCTCTCACATAGGTGACTTCTTAAGTCTAGAGTAAATAATATTACTCAAGTATCATTAAAGCAACCGTTTGCTATCCTTTCCGTCATATCACTGTTTGATGACAGGAATGAATTGAGGTTTACCCCCACAGTGACCACACTAAGTCTTATGATTAGGTTGTCCCATTGAACCTAGATCTTGGGATCTCCAGTCAACTAGGTTGGGTTTTCCTTCTTAAAACTTTTATCTCTTCACAGGCTTTACTCCCATTCCTTTGGTCAATCTTTCAACTGCCTCTCTATTCAACCCTTTGGTTAGCGGATCCGCAAGATTATCCTTTGACTTCACGTAGTCAATTGTGATAATTCCTGTTGAGAGGAGTTGTCTAATGGTATTGTGTCGACGACGAATATGTCTCGACTTACCATTATACATAGTGCTCTGTGCCCTTCCAATCGCCGATTGACTATCACAATGAATACTGATAGGTGGCACAGGTTTTTCCCACTTTGGAATATCCTCCAAAAATTGGCGTACCCATTCAGCCTCCTCACCACACTTATCCAAGGCAATGAACTCGGATTCCATTGTGGATCTGGCTATTACAGTTTGTTTTGAGGATTTCCATGACACAGCTGCTCCAGCTAGTGTAAACACGTAGCCACTCGTGCAGTGTGAGTCCTTTATATCAGATATCCAATTAGCGTCCGTGTAACCTTCTAACACAGATGGATATCTGGTATAATGCAGTCCATAATCACGAGTATGTCTTAGATATCTCAGTACTCTAATTATAGCAGTCCAGTGTTCAAGACTGGGATTACTCGTGTATGAACTCAACTTGCTTACCACATAAGCAATATCTGGTCTAGTACAACTCATTAGATACATCAGACTTCCTATTATCCGAGAGTATTCCACCTGAGATATACCATGTCCACGATTCTTGGATAAATGGACACTGTTATCTAATGGTGTTTTCGCGACCCCAGAATCATTCTTGTTAAACTTATCAAGAATTTTATCTATGTAATGAGCTTGACTCAAAACTAGACCATCTGTTGTCCTTATTATTTTAACACCTAAAATCACATCAGCTAGACCCATGTCTTTCATGTCAAACTTAGAGTTTAACATGTTCTTGGTAGATTTGACCAACTTGTCACTACTACCAACAATGAGTATATCGTCTACATATAGACATAATATGACATAATCGTTTTCTATCTCTTTGAGATAAACGCATTTGTCACTCTCATTAATTTGAATCCACTAGTAATCATTGCATGGTCAAAATTTTCATGCCACTTTTTAGGTGCTTGCTTTAGACCATACAGGGATTTTACTAGTTTACAAACTTTCTTTTCTGTTCCTGGAGCTCGGAAACCCTCGGGTTGTTCCATATAGATTTCTTCATCTAAATCTCCATTTAAGAAAGCTGTTTTAACATCCATTTGATGTATTTCCAAATTCCTTAAGGCTGCGATAGCAAGTATCATCCTTATGGAATTTATTCTCGTCACAGGAGAATATGTATCAAAGTAGTCTAAACCTTCTCGTTGTTTATACCCTTTGATTACAAGCCTGGCCTTGTATTTATCAATGGAACCATCAGGTTTCATTTTCCTCTTAAAGATCCATTTAGATCCTAACGGTTTCTGTCCAGGTGGGAGATCAACAAGCTCCCAAGTATGATTCTGTAAAATTGAATCAACCTCACTCTTTATGGCTTCTTCCCATAAAGGTCCCTCAGAAGAATTTACTGCCTCAGCGTAAGTTAGAGGTTCTCTCTCTAGCAAATAGGTTACAAAATCATCACC